CTTGTTTTTCGCCAGTGCCTTCAGTGCAGCTTGGACTTCTTCCTTCAGTACCATTGATTTTTAATCATATGCTACCTCCTGAAATGGTTGGTACAGTGACTCTGTATTCCTCCTATCTTCTGTTGATGCTTCCTGTCTCATTCAATATTATACCCATAGAATCCTTCAATTTTGAAACTCGAGGCTTGAATTTTTTCTTCAGTTCTTTCAGCTTGAAAAATGCTGAGCATGTACTTTCCTTTTGGTTTTCTAACTCCAGGTCTTTGCACATTTCTTTATACTTTACTTTATCTTCTCCAGTTGTCCTTTGAAATCTTGTGTTCAGCTCTTTCACTTCATCATTTCTTGCACTCACTTTAGCTACTCTACGTTCAAGAGAAAGTTTCAGAGTCTCTTCTGACATCCATTGTGGTCTTTTCTTTCTTTCCTGTCTTTTTAATGACCTTTTGCTTTCTTCATGTATGATGTCCTTGATGTTCATCCCACAACTCGTCTGGTCTTCAGTCATTAGTATTCAGTGTGTCAAATCTATTGTTGAGATGGTCTCCAAATTCAGGGGATGGTCACCAAACCAAAGGGGATGGTCTGTGCTAAATCAAAATAATTGGCTTTTGCCTCCTTCTCTCTTAACTAAAAGTATGATCTTCTATTTGTAAATCACTTATTCTCTAAGTTGCATTCTCTTTATGGCATCCAGGCTGACAAGGAAAGGAAGGGAGGCCAGGAGAAGGTAGAAGAGAACAGAAGGGTCCAGAAGCTGGATATTACTATGAGAGTGGGAGTAAGGAAGTGAACCAGAAGAATGGTTGTGTCTTGAGAACAAGTTACTGGCATTGAGCATAAACACATATATAATGTTTCAGTATAAGAAATGTCACAAGGTAGTACACTAGTAACTGCCAAATACATGGCTCTATAGACAATAAATGTTATAAAAGTTTAGAGAAGAGAGCCATATTTGGTTAGCCTCAATGAAGATAATTCCTCTGAAACCTCCCTCTAGCAATATTTGATATAGGGTGTGATTGTGTAGGGCTAGACTCTCTTGGCCATTCTTTCAAGGGGACTTAGATCTTGAAGAACTTCAAGGATCTCATTGGAAAATTATTTTAGCTATTAAATAAAGGAAAGGTTATAAGAAGTTTCCAAAATGATAGAAAACAATTTGAAGTTAAAATACTATTTAAGCAAATTCACTCTCTGCATAAAATTCACTTAATCCTTCAGTTTTTCCTTTCCTTTAAAATGTATTCACATAGAGCCTCCTTTAAAAGATAGAACCAGCTGGGCATGTAGCCCAAGAAATTTACCACTAAATGAGGACAACTATCAGTCTCAGGTCTTAGGAAAACTGGACCTTGGTAACTTTCTCCCTGGATTTCTTGGCTGTCTGCATTTGAAGAGCGTGTGATAATTTCTCCCTTTGCTAAGTTTTCTTGCTTTTACAGTTTCTTCTAACTAAATGTTAAGCACCCTCACCCTTGGTATTCTAGGCTATACATGTCTATGCAACATCAAGTGGCCTTTAGGTATCACTGGTTAAATGGATCAACACATTTACCCAACCATGTAACTCTGACTCTTTTGGGATTTTCCAGTCTATTTTAATCTATTTAAACCTGACACTAGCAGATTTCCATTTCCTTTGTTCCTTGTGTAGACTTGGTTTATACGTGTTGGTCTCTGAAAGGAAAGGGCGGCAACTTTTGAGAAAGGAGGAGATTGGCAATTTTGACCACACGATTTAGTCTAACAGCTTTGATATGCTAAACTTGCTAACTCCTCCAAGTGTACCTTTCTGATTTTGCATCACAACACCACACTGAATCCCTAAGGAAACCAGGGTAGTTCTTTAAACTAAAAAGAAAAGAAATGCAAACCAGTGAAACTGGTTTTTTTTCTTTCCAATCATCTCCACAGATTCATTCTGCAAACTACAGGCCTTCACAAATCCTGGAAATGCTAGAGACCTTTAAGAAAGGAGAAGACGAGAACACTGATCTTAGCTCTAAATAGCAAAAACAACTGATGTCATAACGTACGGTCCAGTGTGCTTAAAGCCAAGCCGCGTGGGGAGCTAGGGCTCCAGCGAGCGCCGCGCTGCGCGCCAGTGGGCGAAGCGAGTTATCTCCCCCGCCCAGAGGAGGCGTGAGGACCGGGCACCAATCACGTTCTTGCTCAGCGCCTGCCTTTGTTCTCACTGGGGAGCAGGTTTTGGGCTTTTCGCGTTAGGAGCCCGCATTCAACCCGCACGCGTGTTGCTGGCCCGCTGGCAGACCTGGCTCCCTCCACCCCTATACCCTGCCAGTCAGAGCTTTTCCCAATTACATCTGCCTTCTCTCCTGAGAATCAGGACGCTAAAACCCTGACTCATCATTTTTAGCTTTGGAAGAGGCAGGTCCAACCCAACGGCAATTTGTTCTCTGAACCTTCCTTCCCAAGCAGTCTCTGTGCTCTGCATGCATTTGACCAGCTACCTCAGAAAGGACTTTTGGGTGAGAAGACCAACCTGTGTTTCGGCCCTTTCGTGCTGGACAAATGAAGGAACTTTCATTGTTGAGACGACTGTGAGAACGGGCTTCAGATAGAGGAGGAAGCCCCTAAGCCAGAGTTTTGGTGTCTTTTTTCCCCTAACCCGATTAATTACAGAAATATACTTCTAATATCTATCCCTTGCCTCCCTCTCTCTTAAGTCTCAGGTAACTGGTCGTTTTGCAAAACAAGGCTCACAATAAATGATACATAAAGTTCTTTGAGATCCCTGGATGCGAAGTCCTGCGTGAACACAGACTTCTTTACAGCTAAGCTTTGATTTTAGCTAAGAGAAAGCCAAACCACTGCCCGTAGGTTTTAGCCCCCCTTTCTCAAGAGATCGGGAAATATTTAGCTCAGTCTTAGACCCTCTAGCGTGCTCTAGCTCCCAGCTGTTTATCTCAAGCTCCTCACCATTTCTGCAGGGACCGAGAGAAGGGGGCGTGCCTGGCCTTAGAAGAGGGGCTGGGCTTTCCAGTTATTTGCATACAAGACATCCTCTACC